TTAGTTGTTGAATCTGCGGAACAAAACTCAGGAGAAGCAGCAGTTAAAGAGTATTTCCACCTGTGTACCTGTGCTGAGGAAGAGTTTGTGCTAAAGAAAAATAGACGCCTGTCCCAAATAAAGGCGTGGAGAGTTCAGTGAACATAATACGGACGGAGAATTGTATACAATATCAGAAAAACTCATCTCTGATTAATATTTACAGGAAATAATCTGCTCAAAACTCATCAAAATCTCTGGTTTTACACAAACTTCCTGCAGTTATTGTGTTCACTGTTTGGGTTCACTCTACAGTTTATCAGCTGTTTTCTGCTGTTGTTGTTATGTTATTTGAACATTTGAAAGATTAGAAACATCACTTCACATACAACCCTCCCAACCGGTGACACTTTCTGCATTAATTGCAACCTGCTCTATAGCAGCAGTGTCGAACATCGAGTAGCGATAGTCGTGGAAAAACAAAACACAAATGTTACAATGACGCTGAGATATTAAATGGAAAAGGTTTATTGTGGATTACCGTAGTGCTATCCACCCGTCTCAAGACAAAGGGCCGCTGACTTTTATCAGGAGATTACTTCCAGCTGAGATATTTCAAATATCATAAAAGGCCATTTTCGGAATATAAACAGTGATGATAATCTGCTGTTTGCTACAACAGTGGTTTCAGTTTGGCGACATGGACGAGGATCGGAGAATAAGGGCTCGGTGAGGAGAGCAAAAGGTCAGTGAAAGATGACCGAGTGGAGGAATAAATCTATCTTTCCATCTGTCAATCCATCTGTCTGCATATTAGAGTGATAACAATGACACAAGGCTGCAGATACAGTACAGAGCAACCAATTTACATATATAATATACATTAATATAACTGTCACTGTCATTGCAAAACCAGATAAATACATTTATTTTAACTTTTAAACTGATTACATTAAGTGACACTGACAAAAGTATTATATCAAGAATGTTTATTTAGTGTTTTTTTATTAGTGTCACTTAAAATCAACTTAAAATTGCTTAATCGAGAATGTTTTTGAACTTAAACATTTTAGTTAGTGTTAACTAAACTCTTTCAATATAATTAATTTAAACAAAATAATCTAAGTGATAAGTTCATTAAACTCAAAACATTGTTGAAACTGATTACATCGAACATTTTAAGTAAAAAACATTCAAAAAAAAAACAAAAACAACATCAAGTAGTTTTAGTAATTTTAAGTGACACTGACTTAATTTTGTGATTTGTATTTGTACAGTGAAAACAAAACAACAAGTTATTAATCAGGAATGTTTCTGTAACTTAAAAAACTAAGTCAGTGTCACTTAAAATCTCTAGTTAAAGCTGCTGAATCAAGAATATTTTTGACCTTAAAAAAATGGACTTTGTGTTATTCAGTTTGAACAGTTAAAATAACTTATTGCATTAACGTGCACTGTAAAACCAAATAAGTTAATTTAACTCAAAACATTGCTGATATTGATTATCTAAAAAAATTTAAGAAACTGGTAACTTGAAATCAAGATGAACTAGAAGAGAATAACTTTAAGAATTTGACACAATTATAGATGAATTTGGTTTGTTTCCCTTTTACATTTTGAGATGTGAATGAGTCCTTCTGAGCACAATTTAAACAGTAAATGTTTATTTTAGGAGGACAGGTTGGCTACGTGTTCTGGTGGTGTTTTCAACAGTCGCCGTCAGTCGCTACAAGCAACCATTCAGTCGAAAGTCACCAGTTAAACATATATATAATTAATATATTTCATATAATAATAATTTTTGACCAATATGAGCGGGCAGCTGACTACTTAAAGAAAACAGAATAATTCCTCTGATCAGAAAGAAGCGGTAATACTCACTTTAGAGACCAAAACTGTCTTCTGTACCAACCTGTAAACATGTTTAT